CAGTGGAGGTGAGGATAACAAACGCTCACTCCGTGTGACAAGTTACATTAATATACGTTTTAGGTTAAATACATAAATGCAGTCTGTGTATTTTTAAGTAATAAGTGATTTTATTACGTTAATTAATTATTTTTTCAGAAGTCAGTTGAAGAGAATTTGATGAAATTGGGGTTAATATAAGCATGATATTAAAACTAAAAAAGACAACACTTGTATAAACTTTTAATGTCACTTTAAGAGAAAAAGGGCTCTTGTTTTTAATTAAATAAATAAAAATGCCTTGCAGCAGCTTAACTTTGAATACTTTTCTATGAAAATACAAAAAAACTGTAAAACAAAATACTTTGTTTTATTATTTGTACATCAGAGTTCTAAAATAAATGTACAATAATAAAATGAATGCAGTTGTTGAGCTTTAACACATTCTAACTTGGTACATTGCTTTTGTGTAAGCTGGACTAGATTGGATCTTTTCCCTCACAAAAGACTAAAGACATTTTTTAAATGTATCAAGTATAAACCCACGTGTGTGTGTGTGTGTGTGTGTGTGTGTGTGTGTGTGTGTGTGTGTGTGTCTCAGAGCGCCACGACGCCCTCTATGTGGTGGGCTCTCTGGATGAGACCCTGGAGCTGAGGGGAATGAGGTATCACCCAATCGACATCGAGACCTCCGTTATCCGTTCTCACAAGAGCATAGCTGAGTGGTGAGACATTTTCATCACTACTTCATCACTAATCACATCAAATGATTTGTTTTTATCCAGTTAATACTAAAAAATATAAATGAGCAACATAAATTCTGACTTATCTGCCTCTATCCTGTTCTTTCTTTCCCTTTTGCTCTCTTTCCATTTTTCTTTTTGTCTCGCTTTCTCCCAGTGCGGTGTTCACTTGGACCAACCTCCTGGTGGTGGTGGTGGAGCTGGAGGGGTCCGAGCAGGAGGCCCTGGACCTGGTTGCCCTGGTCACCAACGTAGTCCTGGAGGAGCACTACCTCATCGTGGGAGTGGTGGTGGTGGTCGACCCCGGCGTCATCCCCATCAACTCCAGAGGGGAGAAGCAGCGCATGCACCTCAGAGACGGGTTCCTGGCCGACCAGCTGGACCCCATATATGTGGCTTACAACATGTGAGGGGCCCCTCCTCCTCCACGCGGCTCATCACACAACGGGAGTCGGTGTGGCTTCTGTGGAAAGAAAGCGTGCTCCTCTTTCAGCTCGCAGACAGGGAAACATGAAAGAAAACGTGGCTGCAAAATGGAGAGAAATCCCAAGAGAAATGAGATCAACACAAACCTCATGTCAGTTTCTCCCTGCGATTTATCGCCTCAACAAATAATGTTTAAAAGAGTTTTGAGTATGACAGAGTGTCCGTGTCCTTAAACCCGGGACACATGATAGCAGCAAGGTATAACACAACACAGTTCCATTAACTTCATCTACTGTCCGTTTCTATATTTTCATTATTTGTTGTGTTTGCCATACACTAGTGCCATAGACTGACGCCATGTTAAGTGTTCGCAGAGCCATTGCAGGTCATATATGATTTTTATAGAAGAAAATCCATCTTACGTACATTGTCGTCTGCCTGAAGTCAACCCGGATTTTAGTGTTCCTGCTCATTTCACATCATGTTGTTAGTATTGCAGAGATGCACACAGCAGTTATTGCTTCATTCATTGCAGCATCAGTCCTTTTAATTTGTGGTGTCAGTAACAGGGTGTTTAGAAATACTATGTGGTTGACGCAATGTTGTCCTTTTCTAAATCAAAAAAGTGTAATATAGTTATTGTTTTATCAAACAAAATGCAATATGAGTGACGTGAAAGACTTTGAATGACTGCTGCAGACAGTAAGTGCCCAGCCTTCGGAGTCGTGAGATGGCGAGGAATATAATGGTTGCGTTCCATTAGCAACCTGCCAAATAATATGAATGAAGCCTTAAGTGAATTTTCGGACTCTTTACCTATCCCAGCTTAACTTAATTTTGTGAAGTTTATCAGCTGTATGATAGGGAGGGGGGTATGCAGAGGGAGGTAAGGTATGGTAAATCCTATTGCACCCAAAGTCTTTCATCTTTCTGGCTAATATAAATATACTTGATCGTAGCATCAGCCATAACAAACACACACTCCATAAATATTTTTAAAGTGTCTGTCCCTATTGTCAGTTGTGTTGAATGTGTGTTTTAAAGCAAAGGACTGGAGGACAGTGGAGCCGGTGTTGGTTTCATGCAGAATGTCAAAGCCACATTTCGAGTGCCATCGGGTTGAATGAGAGTTACAAAAGTATTTGTATTGCATGTCTTGATGAAGGCAAGTGTCTAATATGCTCATAACATCTTGACCTCCCACATTATCACATTGACTTTGTAAAGATTCACTTCACTGTGTGTTGCTTCTTTTCTCTGTGTGATCATCCCCTCAGAAACAGGCTCCTGCCTGCTGTAAGTATGTACAGGTTTTGTGTAAATTATTAACAGATGGAGAAGATGACCACATAACACAAACACTGAATCTGGTTTATGTGAATTTCTCCCTCACAAACAAAAATGATTTGAAACGTGTTCTCATGTGGACACTGAGAAGAGACGTGAAAAGCCTTGTAAACATTTTTATAGTATGGAAGTGGGAGACCAAGCACACTCCTCGCACAAGGAGAAGACAGCGGCGCTCTAGGGACCGTTGAGACATCACGTCCTCCAGAGCAAACCTTTGTTGTTAACATATGGAAAGATACATTTGTCTGATATATGGTTAGTTGTCATTATTTTCATAACATGATTTCTTAATGAATAAAAAAAAAGTGCTTTTAACTTTGAACGCTTGTTTTTACTAGCAACTGATCCTGCAGATGTCCTATCCAATAAAGAATATTCCAAATGTTCTAAAAGGCTACTATGTGAGGTGGCAGTGAACACTTTGAAGCTCACTGTCAGCTTCTTGAGAAAACAACGCCTACACAGGTGTGTTCAATATCCCACGTGATTAGCCCCGTTGCCCAGGGTGACGTGGGCAGAGCTAAGAATTTCACGACATCAATTCAATTTACTAATCCTGAGCCAACATGTGACCTGTCTTTTAGTCTGTTTGAAAAACAAGGATGTTTCGCTATGGAAAACCAAATAATAATAATGGAATCCTTTACCAGAACATTTCCAATAACAGAATCATCAAAATCATTAAGAGGCGATCCAAAATAAAAACACACAATGTAGTCTTTAAAAAAAAGTATCATAAGTATCATCTTCCAGTTGTAATTGTCTCTGTACCAAAAATGTGAAAATAAAGCATATGCAGTACAATAATGAATGTGAAAGGGTCAGATGAAATTGCTTGCAGGGTGCAATGCTATTGACTTTAGTTGAAGGAAGAGTTTATATAAGAGCAAACTGTCACTCCAGGGTCCTTCAATCTTTCCAAACAATGCAGGGCTTAGGAGATAAGGAAAATATATTTATGATATTTAAAACCTAAAAGCTATATCAAACAATAAGCTCTTAAAGTAAATGCATTTTCAATATATTTGAATATGATCATGTCGTTGTGTTGGCAATAAGCTAAAGTAGCAAGAATATAACCTCCATGTTGTGGGATACATAATAATTATGTGGGTGCAAGGGGCTCACGTTACCTACAGTGGGTGCTATTTGTGGGGTATTATCAGTTTACCCTACAAGGTACAACAAAGCTAACAATGTAATCAAAAACATTCTGTTAAGACCCTTGCAGATCTTGGAAGAGATCTATTCAGACAAGAACACATTTAAATCCTCAGCATAGGTTTACCAAGTGTGCTTTTGAACACTTTGTACCCCCTTTTTAATGACTAGTGTTGCAACAGTAAAGCAACTTTTAAAGGTGCCATATATGACTGAACATTTCTGATCCTCTAGCCCAGTGGTTCTCAACTGGTCAGGCCTCGGGACCCACTTTTTACTTGGTCAATACATCGCGACCCAACATTTTGAAGCACTCAAATCTATTCAACAAAAAATCGTGCTGTAATATATACGCTTTTCAGCATACAATATTAATAAAAGTGAAGTACAGTGCATATATACCTTATATCCCTTCACATAACTAAAGTATGCTTTAAAAAAAGGTTTAATGAGATGATGGAATCAAAGCTGAATTATATGGGATTCTCCCCCAGGAGATTTTTAGAAATACTAACATAAACTATGCATTCTGGTACACTCTGAGAAGAAAATAAATAAATATATTACTAGCTACCCGACATATTAATAATATGTTATGCCATTGTTTGTTTTTCACTTTGTTCTGACATCTTGCTGCGAGAAGAGTAAAGAGGAGATAGTCTGTGTGACTTACTTTAAATTGTGGGTAAGGGTAGATAGCTCCCATTGTTCTGTGACCTGTCAGTCATCAGACCGGGGGTCATATTTCATTATGTGTTGATTTATATCTGAAGTTGTAACCATGGATGTATAAAGAAGAGTTCTACCGCAAAGTTATTCTCCGTGGGGACTTCCGGCAACAATCTTGATTCTGATTGGCCAGAAGACTCGAAAAAACATCAGCAAAGATATTTTATTGAGAAGATGATCACTTTGTGACAGAAGTTTTCAAAACCGTTTATGGTCTCCGGTGCTTCCAGTCCAACGCCGACTGCATGCACAGCGTTAGAAAATCGGGCCTTCAAAATAAAAGTTTAACTTTTCTTCACTCACACATCCGCGACCCAATCGAAACGGGTCCGCGACCCACCTTTGGGTCGCGACCCACCAGTTGAGAACCACTGCTCTAGCCTACATATTTAATGTTATCTTTTATTATTGACAGTATTGCATAAATCTCCCTCAAGCAACAAGTGTGGCAACCCAATAAAAGAGAACTAACTGATTATCCTTTTCCAGGGAGTGCCAATATAGATAATAGAAAAGGACAGAGGTAGAACAACTCCCAGGTTTGAGTGATAGTGTCTAGCCCTGGACACATTTACTATGGTATTTTAAAAAAAAAAGACATGGCGTTTAATCCTTGATTGAATTGCTTTATTTTCATTTTTTAATCGATGTAAAAAATTCAAACACAAAAGTGTAATAGTGAAGAAACTCAATTATGTGGCATTTGTACTTTCCAAAAAAAGTAGAACAGGGATTATATTGATCCTGAGTAAGTAGTAATACATGATAACAGAACATCACATTCAATAATTAATATATTTCTGGTTATGCCATTGTTTCTTTGACTTATTGATAACTCAGTGAAACTCAGTGTTTAGAAAACTGTGAGGAACAAGTCATACAGCGATCATTTTGGTCCTCAGTGTAAAGGTTAACCAAATGCAAAAAAAATCTTGATATTTTTATAACAGTCATACATATATTATATTGGTCTTCACAGTTAGAAATTGTAAATGTTTATAAAAATGCTGAACAAACATTTTTTTTTTTGCATTTTTAGAAAGTATTTAAAATAAAGTAATAATATATAAGTAAAAAAGAGGTTATATTGGACCTAATGGATAGGTATAAATGATAATAAAGTAAAAAGAAAAGTCATACAGATATTATATTGGACCTCAGTGAGTTTTAACCGTTTACAACATTTCAAAGAAAATCTCGATATGTTCATAAAAAGTCACACTTTGAGTAGTTGTATATTTGTAGAACAATAATAAAAAATTAAAAGTAATACAGAGTTTAAAGTGATCCCAAGTCAGTGGTCATAAACGATAACTTTGCATAAATATAACTTCCTTTGTTTAATTTCCATAACAAAATAATAGAGGGCCGGTCCTCCTGAGTGAGTAGTCAAAACTCTTCAACAATACTCAAAATATCATATTTACATTTCCATTACAATGGCCTTTCATTGGCTTCAGAAACTCAATGTGGCATTTGTACTTTCCAAAAAAAGTGGTACAGGGATTATATTGATCCTGAGTAAGTAGTAATAAATGATAACAGAACATAACATCATATTCAATAATTAATATATTTGTGGTTATGCCATTATTTCTTTGACTTATTGATAACTCAGTGAAACTCAGTGTTTAGAAAACTGTGAGGAAAAAGTCATACAGCGATCATTTTGGTCCTCAGTGTAAAGGTTAACATGCGAAAAAATATATTGATATTTTTATAATAGTCATACATATATTATATTGGTCGTCACAGTTAGAAATTGTAAATGTTTACAACAATGCTGAACAAAAAAAATTATAATTGCATTTTTAGAAAGTATTTAAAATAAAGTAATAATATATAAGTAAAACAGAGATTATATTGGACCTAATGGATAGGTATAAATGATAATATAGTAAAAAGAAAAGTCATACAGATATTATATTGGACCTGACTTTGAGTAGTTGTACATTTGTAGAACAATAATCATTTTTTTTTTTTTTAAATCAAGTAATACAGAGTTTAAAGTGATCCCAAGTGAGTGGTCATAAACGATAACTTTGCATAAATATACCTTCCTTGGTTTCATTTCCATAACAAAATAATAGAGGGCCTATGGGTAATACTTCAACAATACTCAAAATATCATATTTACATTACAATGGCCTTTCATTGGCTTCAGAAAGTCCCTACATTACACACACATTTTATGTCAGCATTTTGACAGATATATGTTCTTTTCAACAAATGGTACTATTATTTTCTTCAGAGTAATGTTTTAATATAAGAATATGGCTAATGCCATTTTACATGTCGAACAGACCTAAATTTACTCTACCAACATGACGTGTCAGTTTGTCTTGAATCCTTAATTTACATATTCCTCGACTAAACTCAGAAGCTCAGATGCGCTCTCCAGTGCCAACAACGCATTCTCTGGTTTGAACTGCTCATTTGGAATATGGGGAAATGGATGGCAGTTTGGATACTGAGTTTTTTTGTCGTCCACTCCCAACGCCTTCAGATTCCTCACTATTTGAGGAAGAACTCTCAGTTTGAGGTTGTAGAGGGAAACTTCTGCTGCAAGGGATAAAATGGAGCTGCTGGTGGGATGCTGACCATCTCTCTTAGACTTTTCCACTGCTTGATGGACTTTGAACAGACACCACTCTGTGCTCGCCCCACTAACGTCTTTGTAGGCTGCGTCGAGATCACAGCGAGCTTGTCTTCTCCAGCGTTGGGCCTCTTCTTTGTTTGGCCTTAGGACATTTTCATTATGTGTCCAAAAATTGTAGGAACGGTTGCTTCTGGAGAATCCGTCTCTAGCATTTCTGTGATGCCTGGCCTCCTGATTCCATTCATCATAGAAGTTCTTGAAATCTGATCTTCCGCTTGAATAAGATGAGCCTGTATTTTTGCCTTTGCCCTTCCCTTTGCTGAGCTCAGCAATTTGATTCGGCAGGTATTTGAATGCCTCAATGGCAAGAGGTATGCAGTCAAGGTTTTTGTCAGGATGCCATCTAAGGTAAAGTCGTTTGATGGCTTTATGCTTTTCCTCCTCAGGAAGAGTCCAAATCTCTTTTAAACATTTGTCAATTTCCATTTTAGCTTCTTCAAGAGAGGCTGGTGAGGATCTCGTAGAAGAGGAACTTCCTTTAGGTTCTGGTTTCTTTTGTCATTTAAACTGATACAGGTTCAGACAACTGACTTCAATGGGCTCATCGTCTCCAATTTCTATTTTGTATCTGTGTGAATATGGTCCCGACTGCCCAGGCAGTTCTTCAACAATAACTGCATAGATATACTTGTTGTTGGTGCTGTAGCCAACATGTTCGCCCTCTTCAAAGTTATTGAGGATGTTCATGTCTAACGAATCATGCCATTCCACTAGGATTTCTGTTGCAGGGGCTGGTGGATTGCGGAAAATGCTTTGAGTTTCAGCACTGTCCAGGATCCCATTCTTAGCCAGAGTTTTCTGAACATCTTGCATATTGTCACACGTGAGAAGGTGTACGAGGACCAGGAGCTGTTTCGATTCCAATATGTTACCTAAAAGAGCATTAATCTCCTTTGTCAATGTCATATTGACGTCACTTATCACCTTATGAATCGTGTTGTTGTTGTGTTTCATGTAAAATATGCAACCTTGTTGCTCTTGTTTGACAAAAACATCGGTTTGTGAGGCAGTCTGGTGTAGTGGTTGTTGATTCACCCAAAGCTCAGTTTTTAGACTATTGCAGCAGACAATCTGAATGCTGCCAAAAGTCTTCTTGCACATCTCAGTAGCATCATCTTGTGTTATTTCCCCCTGGGACTGGTCTCTGATAAGACAAATGAGTCCATGTATAAATGCTTCTGAGGACAAATGTCTGTCAAACAATCCACTAAATTCACAGTCAGCACCAAGTTCACAAAGCTGCATGTCTGATTCCACTACTTTCTCCTCAGTGAATTGAGACAGCATATTAGGCTTAAAAGTTTGAGGCAGCAATCGCAGCAACCGGTGATGCTCATACACGTCATTGCCTAAGTGACACTCACTTAGTTTCTCAAGCAACAAAAACTTATTGTCCAGCGCTTTTTCCAACCTTTTGCTCTCAAACACTGTATCATTGTAGTAGAGTTTGCAGGATGGGTATACTTTACCATCTACTGCAGGAAGATACAAAGTCATTGAATTATCAACAAGGGACTGGTTTTCTTCAGTTTTGATTGAACTGAAAAACTGCTCAACAGCACGTTTCACAGTTTTTTGTTGGTTTGGGTTAAGATGAGGTTTCTCACAGGAATCAGCATAAACTGCTACCAGAACATTAAAATACTGCACTGCTGTAGGTGTGTCCTTCACACCAATTTCCTTGAAGAACTTTGAAAAGATCACATCATTCGGAGAAACTTTGTACAAATACGGTCTGAACTCGCGCTCGTGCGGGAGTGAAAAAGAAGTATCATCAGGCTTTGCAAGTTCCTTGTCTTTTTCAACCAAAACCACAGGAAGACCAGCCAATGTTTGGACTTCAAACGTGTTTGTTTGCAGGTATTCATATGCACTTCGAAAAACCTCAGCACGGGTTTGGATCGACTTTTGATCTTTACAGGGCGACTGACAGATGTTCCTCATGTTACTGGTGACACAGTTTGGCGGTGGTTGTTCATGAGCTCCAGCTTTATTCATCCTTTCCAGGACTTCCTCTGACTTATAAACAGGTAGATGTATAATTGGCATTGAGGACCAAACCAGTTCTTGATGCTTGGCTTCAGTGTCTATCAAAGATCCCCTGATTTTAACGGCAGTTCTCTCAGCCACAAATGGTTGGTGGAAGTTTTGCAGTTCTTTTTGAATTTTCACAGGAAAAAGGAACTTGATGTCAGCCATTTCCTCCAGAAACATTTTCTCTTCACGCTTGTCCTCAATCTGTATATTCAAGGCTGCTTTGAATATTAAAGATGACTTTGGTTCCAAATCGTTAAGGTCACCATTTCCTTTTGCTTCTGATTCTAACTGGTGTGCAAAGTGAATTATGTAATCTGTTGACAGCACATGCATTCCAAGGTCTCTCAGTAGCTTCTTTGGGTCTGGTAGAAAAAGCCCTTCACACAACTCAGTCCAAAATCTCTTAGGTACAAACCTCTCTTGGGGCAACATTTCTTTGTACAGCTCAACATTCTCATCAAAGAAGTATGATGCCTTCTCCAATGTGCCTTGAGAATTGGCAATCAATTTCACTGTCTTCATTGAGGAGATGATTGTTTCCCTACACTCACAATGAATGAATTGTGGTGTCAGTAAGAGTTTGAGGCAGTGAAGCTTTTGCATCCCAGTGAGTGTGTGTACAACAGGCAGAATAAACTTCATGAAATATTTAAAATCATTCATGGTTTGGATCTTCAATGTTTCTGCTAGACAGATGTTTGCAGTACTGTTTTGGAGAAAAATGCTGTTGCTGTCAGATAGGGAGAACAAATCCGGAAATGTCTTTGAATATGTGCAGTTGACGATAAATACCTCTTTAGGTCCATCAATCCTTACTCGTTTACCATGTATAGTTTCAAATATTGGCAAGGATTTTAGCTTTCTTTGATATTCTTGTTTGTCTTTGGACTTGGATACTCCAGACTGCAGGTCACACTGAAGCTCTTTCAAATCCTGATTTGAAAGCTTGGAAAACTCTGAGTGGTTTATGTTGTAGAGCTGCTCCAACACAGAGCCTTTAACATTCACATCCATAAGTTCAGAGTAAATAAGTAAGCATTGTTCTAAAGGCATCTCAGAGACGAATGTACTTTCAAGCTTCATAAAACCAAGTTTAAAAAGGATGCCTGATATGTCCTCTCCAGAGGTGCTCTTAATCACACTCGGCATGTCTTTCATTGTTTTCAGGAAGTGTTTGTTGTTCAACCTTGGACATATAACAGGTAAAATGCAGCAGTCGCTGAAGAGCTGCCTAACATCACTTAATGTCAGGCTTTCTTCATCACCATTAGATGTTGCAGGTTTAATTTCACTTGTTAAGAAATTCCAAAGTGATTTCAACCACTTCAACATTCTCTTATTTGGGACATGAAGACCACTTTGTGGATCAACTTCACAGCTCTGAAGAAGTTGCTGAATTAACGGCTTCAGATATTTTGCTGCGCAGGGAACTGTCAATCTTTCGACAAGGTTTAAAGTTTGTAGAGCATCAATGTTCTCTCCGTTTGTCTGAAAGTCTGCAAATTGTTCCTTGTCGGCAAAGAACACACTCTCATAACTCGATATCAGCTTGGGAGATTTGGAGTCAAACACTCTCAAAACGTTATCACTTGTGAGAAGAAGTGGAAGTCCATTGAGTGTAATGGAGTTGTCTTCTGCTGTCTTTTTAAAGTCTTTTAAGAAGAAACTCAAGAGCTCAGAACATCTTTTTCCATCTCTGATCAAGGTGGCAGTTATGGGCAGGGGTAAATCCTTGTCTGTTCTGGTCGGGTCATTGACGGTTATTTCTCTGAGGAAAGTCTGCACACTTGAAGGATTTACATCTCTTACTGCAATGTCTGCGGTTCTGAAGCTTTCCCAAACATTTTGCATGAAAGAAGGTACCAATGTCATTCCAAGATCTTCCAAAATTGGTATTATCCCGTCTGTTTCCGAGTGTGTGAGATAAGGTGCCTTAGTTGTTTCATTTTCTCTGACATTACACCAGTCAAAAGAATATGTCTTCAATTCTCGGCCTGCAACATTGCGTGTTGAACTCCTCAGAACTGGAATCACATCAAGACCTTTTTCTTTGATTGATCTGTAAACCTCATGTATCATTTTATGCCAATCCTGGCCAACATGTTTGGACACGTTTGGCCAAAAGCCCACATAGAATGACTCAAGACTTGCATAAGTGGTTTTCTTTTTTGCAAAGTGGTGGCAGATGTACTGAAGGAGATCAGCATAAAGTGGAGCAATGAGATTCTGTTTCAAAGATTCATTCCAGTTAGATTTGAGACTTTGCCCATCTTCTTTCCAAGGGCTTCTCCTGGCAGAATCTACCTCAAAGTTTGCGTTGACATGCACTGGCAGTCCAGTTGTTCCTGGCAAAGGAAGTGAACAAAAGGCTTCTCCAATAAAACACATGTTGCTAGATGGGGCTTCACCAGAGACCTTTGAGCTCACAAGCGCCGCTATTGCTGCTTGAGGAAGTTTTTTTGGAAGTGTTTGATCTCCTTTGCCACTGTTTTTGAATGTCCCAAACTGTTCTGCAATGATCCATTTTCTTTGTCTTTTATCGGAGGTTGAAATGAGTGCACTGTATATAGCCTTGTCTGGCGTGATTGGTTTGTCAGATTGCAGCGCATTTTGTTGAAGCTTAACAAAAGCCTCTTTACTTTCTCGGCTTATCTGTGGTAGGTCTTTTTCAACCATAAAGATTGTTTTGAGTATCCCTGAATGTTCATTGATTTCATGGACCTCTATTTTGCAGATGTTTTTCAGAAACAGAATCAGTCCTTCAGGATCTTCAGAGAGTGCAGAGCAAAGTTCATTCATGTCATGGTCTGTGACTCCCTGCTGTGATATTTTAGAGCTGTTTGCCATGGTACCGATCCTTAAGGGCAATCTGAACATGGTGCCATCTTTCAGGGGAAATTTGTCTGGAAGAAAGGATTTGTAGACATCCATGTACATGTTCTTAAAAGTGTCAGCTAGTTTATAGCCAGTGCCAGCTGGTGGTTTGTCTGAATGACTTTCAATGAATTTTTGATTGGGATCAGAAATGCAGAGTAGTTTATCTCCAGTGAGGATGGAGGGGCAGTCAGTCAGATGGTAAACAGAGTTGAATCCTACTCCGTATTTCCCTGTCTTCCCTGGAGAGTTGCGCTTTCCTCCTTCTCCCAGCTGTTGGATGCCCTTCAGGTCATCATCAGAAAACACTTTGTTGTTGAAAACACACAGTGCTGGACCCTGCAGTTTGTTCCATTTCTTTCCAAATGTTTTTTCTGTGCCATGCTGTCGTTTGTCCCAAACAAAGTGAATTTCAGTTGCCTCTGCATCATCAGCATTTTGGATAAGCTCTTTAAGGATATCTTTCTTTGATGGATAGGCTGAAATTAAGTTTTTAATTCGAACAGTTAGTTGTTCCTGCTGTTCAAAATGAAAAGCAAATGGTGAAATGTTCTCAACTGTATAGTTTTGCAGGGTATCATGCCTTGTTGTTTTAATTCCAAAGTGACAAGCCATAGCACGTTGGATATCCTTGTGACATAATGTCACACCTGGATCAACTGCCATCCATGGGCTGTCATTGAAAAACATCTTACTTGCAGGTTGTAGAACATCATGTTCATTGGGTATCAGACAGTTGGTTGTCTCATCTTTGGCCTCATATATTCCTCTGAGAATTGTGAGACAAATCAAAAGGTCTTTCTCTGGCAGGGTCTTGTTGCCATGTTGAGTGTGTATTTCCTGCAGCACAGTTGGAAACTGACTTGTTGTAAATGTTTTTAGTCCAAACTCCTGAAGCAACTTCTTGTATGGCAAAAATTCATTTGGAACCTTCCTAATATAAGAACTCAGATCAAGATTTTGTGGGTAGTCTAGAACCAGATCCTGTGGTGATACAAACTGGTCGTCGCTCCACAGCCAGTGTGTATCCTTTTTCATCTTTCTTGAAAATTCATTTATGTGGTCTTGCATGTGTTTGTAAATGCTATGCAGCTTTCTTTTAAAATCCACATTTGTGTCAGGATCAGTCATTTTCTGTGCTTTTGATGTCAGAGCAGACAAATTCTCTATCACTTTTTCAGGTGGGGGTAGGCGTTTGAGACCAAGTTGGCTGCTAACTCTGTCACTGAAAGTACCCAGAGGCATTACATGCTCAACAATGTCCGCATAATCAGAATGTCTTGTTTCATCAGGGCAGAAGAAACAACTTCTCTGAGATGTGTCATTGCCGTACGTGTTATCATTACCAGGCTTAGTACATGGGATCCATTTTAGCATTTTGATGCAATGAAGCTGCTCAGGAGAAAACTTAAACAGTAGATCATTAGTATCCAACATCTTCAAGAGCACCTGAGCTCTATTAAGAGCCTCAGTTTGAGAGTCAACATCCGCTTTGTCAATCAGTGTGGCAGCATGCAAGAAGTGCTCCGGTGACACATCTACTTCTTGGTTTAGTAAGCCAAGATCAGTTAGGCTTTGAAGCATCTGCGATGTGCCAGTGTAAAGAGGTGGAGGGAAGAAATCTGACTCGAAAATGACTTTAAAGGTTTTAATTTTTGGATCAAAAAAGGCTGAGGGTTTTTTCAGTTCTCCATTCACTTCAATGAAGCTCAAATCCTTACATCTGTGTTTCAAGGTCTGATTTTGAGAGAAAAGGATAGCTCCATCCTGTAAAATCCAAGTCATGATTTTCTCAGTGTCTTCTCTTCTGCAAGCCCTGCTCTCAATACAGTCAATAAGGAGATGAGCTGCTTCAGCAGTGTCCAAAAGTTTAACTTTGAGCAGCTGTAACAGTCTGTGATCAGCCTCAGTTGCACACCGCACAACTGAATCAGGCATAGGGAAATCTGTTGGTACTTTTAGACCAGACATCAGAAGCACGGCCTGCTTTGATTGAGCTGCAACACATGATCCATTCATGGTTTGAAACAGAGGCAACTTTGAGAGTAAATCTTTCTCAGTGACTGAGAGACAATCAAGACGAGAGAGATAATCTTTCAGTTCTTCTCGTGCTCCGTGAGAGGCAGTTTTGAGATCTCTGATGAGATTCTGAGAATCTAGGTTCACCAATACTTTCATGACACTCCTTGGAGATGGGCACAGCACATATGAGTCAAGGTCTTCGTGTTTGAGCCAGTCGTTTTCTCTTACCGCTGTGGCACCAAGTTTGCTCACCAACTCAGTTATTTTTTCTGGCAAGTGCATCTGCTTCCTTTTCTGAAAAATTAAGGTTGTCTTCTGCTCTAGTATAGCTAGTGATACTGGCTGACTGACTGACAGGGGACTGACTGGTATCAATGGCAATCCAATGAAATTACTTAACTCTTTGAAGTGAGTGTTGAGAAATGTCCAGAACTCTTGGAGCCACTCTAAAGGTGGATGTTGATTGCTGCTGACATCCCAGGTAACATGCCCCTTGCTCATCTGCTTCCAGTCCTGTGGCAAAAACCTCTTTGTATATTCAGCCACCCGTTTTTCATCAATGTTGATGACCTTGAAAATATCTGGAAAATTGGTTTAAATACATAGTGAGTGAAAACATGACAGATGTTATGCATTTTTAAATCAATATACTATAAAATGATCCGTCTTACTTTCTCTGGCCAGTTCTTTCAGGTGGGCACTGCAGGCTGGACGGAGATCATCGGGGATGAAGAGGTGTTTGCAGAATGGTAGCAAGACTCTGGACAAAGGATACATTTGTTGAATCGGCATGTAACAAAAACAAAGACATTTGTATATCATTTAAGTTGAGATGCATTAAATATATTTTCCAATAAATACAATTGTATTGTTTTTATCAATCTGTACTAATTCTAAGATTGGATTTGGGCAATATTTAAACTTAATATAGATGTAATTGGTTTAAAAGGTCCCATGACATGGCCATTTCTACTGATCATAATTCCATTGTTGAGGTCTACTAGAATAGATTTACATTGTTCAATGTTCCAAAATCACATTGGTTTCTCATACAGCATCTCTTTATAGTAGGGATGCTCCGATCGATCGGTCACCGATCGAGATTGGCCGATATTCACTCCCTACCGATCGATCGGTGCTCTCTAAACATGCCGATCGCGAGAGCCGATCGCGAGAGCCGATCACATGACGTAAAATACATGACACTTTTCTCTGTGTGCGGCAAAACAAGCTCGCCAAAATGGCTTCACCGGTCTGGCATTATTTTAAGGTGTCCGAAAAAGACAGTAAATTAGCGGTATGCAACGTGTGTGTGAAGCAGAAATCCTGCAGCTCCGCCCGCCGGACCGGTAAGCGGAGCGAAACACACAAGAGTTAGACCTAACACACTTAGCTATTTTATCTACCTCTGGAACAAGCTAAACTAGTTATAAATATATTTATTCTTCACTGTCGGGTCACTCATTACTGTATCAGTGAGCTGCATGAGATACTGACAGGCTGTCAGGAGAGGGAGAGAGGGGGAGAGAGGGGGGGAAAGAGAGAGGGAGAGAGGAAAAGAGAGTGCTTCCGCTCATTTCTCCCGTGTTATTATCCAAAGTGAATGTAAACTTGAATAATGTACATCATTTGAATGTAATAATTAAGTTGATTGTTGTTTGTGGAAGCTCCAGTGAATGAGCCCCATTAACTGAGTTTTAAACATCACTTTAAATGGAAGATTCAAAGTGATGTTTAAATCTTCCATTTAGGCCCCGCCCACTCGATCGGTATCGGCCGATACTGATTCCGGCGATCGGCCCCGAAATTGGCGATCGGAGCATCCCTACTTTATAGTATGTGTATTCACTCTCTGTCCTGCTTGTTGGAGCTCCTGCCCCCCCCCCCTCCCCCTCCCTATGAGCCCACTGTGCTCTGATTGGTCAGCTCGCCCACTCTGTTCTGATGAGTCCACCACCGTTACAGCGGAACATCAGTGATTATGTGTTACAATGGCGTTAGCAACCAGAAAATGACACCAGCAATGACAAACAGATGAGAATGCTGCAAATTGTCAACGGGGTGGGGGGGGGCTAGTTAACTGTCAACGGGGGGGGGGTAGGCTCGCTGCGGGGAAACGGTGGACCTCTGTCGCCTGTCAGCGCAACTTCAATGATGCCACACACAAGGGCGGTGCCGGCCGTAAACGGCCCATGATGACCGGCCGTTCTGTGATTCTCCAGATGGCCAGTCCGCCCCTGGGTCTGGGTGCCGTGTTGACGGGACGTTGCGGGGCTCGCTGCTGGAGCGGACAGTGTGAGCTGACACACACACACACACACACACACACACACACACACACACACACACACACACACACACACACACACACACACACACACACACACACACACACACACACACACACACACACACACACACACACACACACACACAACCCACAGGCTGTGAGTCTGTGTGTGCTCAGGCCGAGCCCAGGCCGAGCCTCGACGCGTCCCGCCGTCTCAGGCTGAGTTCAGCCTGAGAAATCCGGAGCTGCAGCTGAGAAAAGATTGAGTGTGTGTGTGTGTGTGTGTGAGGAAGTCCGCGGAGCCGTTACGTCACTATACCAAATATGTCACTATACCCAAGAAAATAAAAATGGAAAAAGAAAAATCTCCAACGAGGCGTTCTGGGGCAGCATAGACAGGTATTTTCTGTGTTGGAGTTTTACTCGCTACATGGTGTACTTTGAGGGTTTGTGACTGCAGACCGTTTACATGCATTAAAAAAAACTAAATAACACACAAGGGGACGGGTAAAAACCAGAAAAGCATGTCATGGGACCTTTAAATTAGTAGTAAATAGAAGAGAAAAAACATCTAAAAAGAAAATAAACCTACCTTGGAAATGCATTGCTGTCAATCAAAGCAGTGTCCTCCTCTCTGTCTGTGAACGATTTGAAAGAGCCATCGTTGAGCGGAAGCAGCTGAAGACCTTCCAGTTCTCTGTATTTTTCATCACTTAAAATGAACTCCAAAAGGCAGAGTTTGTCATGTTTAGAGATAGTGTGCACGTCAATCCTGCGGAGCGAGCCCCTTATGAAAGCTGGAGTCACGTGTTTTAGGGTGTCTCGGTGTGGATAGGCCTCATCTATAGCGCTTGCAACACTACCTGGTAAGGTGACAAGATTTTCTCCACAGGAAACCAAAGTCCTTTTAATTGCAGCCAATATGTCACTGCTTGTTGGAGCATTACAGGGGAACACAGCTTCTGATGGAGTGATAAACTCTCTTTCATCTTTGGCAAGAGAGAGGACAGCCACATTCTGCCTGAATAAGTGATCAAGAACATCCAGAGCAACGGCATACCATTTGCGTTTGTGCTTTATCTGGGCAATATCTGGCCACAGATCGTACACTGAAGAGACAGGCAGATTATCTTGTTGTGCAAGCTTGATAGCATCTTGAATGATCATGATGTATGCCTGTGGAAGCACCTCCTTCATCAGCAATTCATTCCACACCGCATGTTCGTCATGTTGCTGGTCTTCCTCTTGCCACTTGATCTCTCTTCTGTTGTCTGTGAGGCCAAAACACGCGTTGATATAAACTGGGAATCCGGTCTTATTGGATTCATTGTTTGGTAGGGGGAGAAAGCAGCTCAATCTGCTCTCACTACTGTCTCTCTTCTCACCACAAGGGAATGCCAAGTCAACTTGAGGGAAAAAGCTCAACTTTTTCGCAAGTGAATCAAGATGTTCTACATTTCCTTCTTTCATGGTACATGTTGTTAAAAGCCATTTTGTTTCTTTGTGGTCTTCTGAGTTGAGGGTTATTACTTTGAATCTTGTTGAACTCTCAATGATTGAATCGTCTTCTGACTCCAGAACGACATCTGTGGATATTGAGGATTTCACTTCAAGTCTGGTTTTAACGGTGCCATCGATGTTGATATGTATCAAGGAAACAGAGGTCACGTTTTTCAGGAACAGGAGACTTAAATCTGCATCCGCAATGAAGCTATCAAAAAGCTCAACCACCCTGTCAGAGTCATAGAGATTATCTGAAATATCTGATACCTCTTTGCGCAAAGGGAACCTGAAAATTGTCCCGTCAAAGTGTTGATCCTCGTTGATGACTGTTGACCATTCTTTTCTGCCAACAAGCGAAACTATATCTCGAAAAGGTTGGAACTGGTCATGCATCTCTATTAGAGCTTCCTGGTGTTTTGTATCATCCAAAGACCACAAAAAACCACTATTTCCTTTTCCAAATATTTTTTCCTGGGGGTCCATCATGCCGAGGTGATTTGAACTGAATATACTGGGCACATCTGTGAAGAAAGTGGATCAACATTGTCATATTTAGTAACTCTGCATTTTCTCTAAGGACTCAAACTGAAACAATCTGTATCTTTATGTAGTTTTACCTGTTATGTGGTAAACAGAGTTGAAGCCGATTCCAAACCTCCCAACTTTGTTTGGGTCATTGCGCTTGACACTCCTCCCTGCCATCTGAATTCCCTCCCAGTCCTCATCAGTGAAGGCTGCATTGTTGTATGCATAGAGAGCAGGACCTTTCAAGAAAAAAAAGTGCTTTAAACATTAGATCAGAGCATTTGTGCATGTTCTTTAATTTTTTTCAGTCTCTCTAATAATAATAATTGCTTGTTTTGGATGCTATCCATGCTAAATGGGCTAGAAATATAGGAAAGGCTGAGGGTGTAAACATGTGTTTTCTGCTTTTGCAGTGCTCTACATTTCAAATTGAGAACCTTTGATTGATTTCAGTAATATAGTAATTTTGTGGTGTGTAGTGTAATGTGGTGACTTAGGGATGCATACCGGTATCCGGTATTACCGAAATACCGGTTACTGGTGGCTACGGAATACCGTACCGAAATCAGATCCGGTTTCGATACTTTTTTTTTTTTTTAATTAATTTTAAAAGTGAGTCCGTGGCCCGTGATGGCGGGTGTTATAAATTAGATTGCATAATCGTTTTTCTTCATATTTTATGTATTTTTCATTGTTTGTTCAATACTAGAAAGGTAAAAGTCCCATAAAAAGGACTGTGATGGGATTTGTTTTCTCTCACCAGTGAAGGTAAATGTTGATTTTAAAGATGAGATTTGTTGTGATCTCATGACCATTATTCTATTATGTATTTGTTCTCTAGTCGAATCTCAGGTTTAACATTAATTATAACGGTGCTATAACGGTCTGTTTGCATTGACAAGATGTGCTATTCACGCGGCACATCTGATGGCGGGTGTTATAAAAGATATTCCATAATCGGTTTTCTTCATATTTCTTATGTATTTTTCATTGTTTGTTCAGTACTAAAAGGTCCAAGAAGTCCCACAATTGAATTTAATATTCATTTGACATGTTAACTATATCGTAAAGCGCTTCATGGGAGTAATTGTGGGATGACACATTTTAAAAGTATCACGATATGTATCGGTTGAGTATCGGTATCGTTCAGTGGTATCGGTATCGTAAAAATGTCAACGATATGCATCCCTATAGGTGACTACAGTTTACTGTATATGTTACAGGTAACATAAAATGCAGAAATTGCCTTAAATGGGGCGAAGCCTGCGATATGAAGGGCCGTGTAGGCCAAAATTCAAACTCACCTCGCACACACACTACTGAAAACATCTGGCCTTGCACACACACTACTGAAATACTCTCACATTCACTACTGAACACCTCACACCAGGGCCGTTTCTTCCTATATGCGGACTATGCAGGGGCATAGGGCCCCCGCGGCCACTAGGGGGCCCCCAAGCTGAAAGTATTTTTTTATTTTTTTATTCATCCGAAAAACAAAAAAAGTTTAATTCATACACACAAAGATGAACAAAATTAGTAGAAGCAGGAGGGCTGAAGCATAACTTGTGGAAAGTAGCCCTCCCGTGCATCATCCTAATACAGCGGCATTATTGCGTCAACAATGTATAGAAATGAAGGAGTACAAAGAAATAAAGAAAACAGGAGAAAAAATTAAATAAAAGTTAGGGCAGGAAAACAATAAATGCATATACGA